GCCTGGTGCCTGTGCTGGGTGCTGTGAGGGTGCTGGGCTGTGTCCCCCTGCAGTTCCCACAGCTCGAGGCCGCTGCCCTGGGGCTCTGCAACAAGTTCCTGGAGGAGATGGCCAGGTTGGCCAGCACCTGCATCATGGACGGCTGTGCTGAGCAGCACAAGCTCAGCGAGCAGGTGAGGGGCCTCCAGGAGCTCCAGGGACTTTGGGGGCTCCAGGGCTTCCAGGGGCTCCAGGGGCTCCAGGGACGCTGGGGGCTCCAGGGACTTTGGGGGCTCCAGGGCTTCCAGGGGCTCCAGGGGCTCCAGGGACGCTGGGGGCTCCAGGGACTTTGGGGGCTCCAGGGCTTCCAGGGGCTCCAGGGGCTCCAGGGACGCTGGGGGCTCCAGGGACTTTGGGGGCTCCAGGGCTTCCAGGGGCTCCAGGGGCTCCAGGGACGCTGGGGGCTCCAGGGACTTTGGGGGCTCCAGGGCTTCCAGGGGCTCCAGGGGCTCCAGGGACGCTGGGGGCTCCAGGGACTTTGGGGGCTCCAGGGCTTCCAGGGGCTCCAGGGGCTCCAGGGACGCTGGGGGCTCCAGGGACTTTGGGGGCTCCAGGGCTTCCAGGGGCTCCAGGGGCTCCAGGGACGCTGGGGGCTCCAGGGACTTTGGGGGCTCCAGGGCTTCCAGGGGCTCCAGGGGCTCCAGGGACGCTGGGGGCTCCAGGGACTTTGGGGGCTCCAGGGCTTCCAGGGGCTCCAGGGGCTCCAGGGACGCTGGGGGCTCCAGGGACTTTGGGGGCTCCAGGGCTTCCAGGGGCTCCAGGGGCTCCAGGGACGCTGGGGGCTCCAGGGACTTTGGGGGCTCCAGGGCTTCCAGGGGCTCCAGGGGCTCCAGGGACGCTGGGGGCTCCAGGGACTTTGGGGGCTCCAGGGCTTCCAGGGGCTCCAGGGGCTCCAGGGACGCTGGGGGCTCCAGGGACTTTGGGGGCTCCAGGGCTTCCAGGGGCTCCAGGGGCTCCAGGGACGCTGGGGGCTCCAGGGACTTTGGGGGCTCCAGGGCTTCCAGGGGCTCCAGGGGCTCCAGGGACGCTGGGGGCTCCAGGGACTTTGGGGGCTCCAGGGCTTCCAGGGGCTCCAGGGGCTCCAGGGACGCTGGGGGCTCCAGGGACTTTGGGGGCTCCAGGGCTTCCAGGGGCTCCAGGGGCTCCAGGGACGCTGGGGGCTCCAGGGACTTTGGGGGCTCCAGGGCTTCCAGGGGCTCCAGGGGCTCCAGGGACGCTGGGGGCTCCAGGGACTTTGGGGGCTCCAGGGTCTCTGTGGGTCTTGGGGTCTCCAGGGCCTCCATGGACTTTGGGGGCTCCAGCAGCTTCAGGATCTCTGTGGGCTTTGGGGTCTCCAGGGCTTCCAGGATGTCTGTGGGCTTTGGGGTCTCCAGGGCTTCTGAGATCTCCAGGATCTTTGAGGGCTCCATCAGCTGCAGGATCTGTGTGGGTCTTGGGTTCTCCAGGGCTTCCAGGGTTTCCAAGACCTTTGGGGGCTCCAGCAGCTTCAGCATCTCTTTGGTACTTGGGGTCTCCAGGACCTTTGAGGTCTCCAGGACTTTTGAAGTCTCCATCAGCTTCAGGATCTCTGTAGCCTTTGGGGTCTCCAGGGCTTCTGAGATCTCCAAGACCTTTGAGGGCCCCATCAGCTTCAGGGTCTCTGTGGCCTTTGGGGTCTCCAGGGCTTCTGAGATCTCCAGGATCTTTGAGGGCTCCATCAGCTGCAGGATCTGTGTGGGCTTTGGGGTCTTCAGGGCTTCCATGGTTTCCAGGACCTTTGAAGTCTCCATCAGCTTCAGGATCTCTGTGGCCTTTGGGGTCTCCATGGCCCCATTGTCCCCTGACCCCCCTGTGGCCCCATCTTCTCCCTGTTCTCCAAAGCCTGGGGACAGCAGAGACCACGATGGGGAAGAACCACCTTTCATTTCACCTCGGGGGCAGCGACCACTGGGTCCTGTTGGGTTGTCCTGGGGCCTGGTGGCATCTGGTGGCCTCTGGTGGCCTCTGGTGACCTTGTACCCGTGGCCACCAGCTCCTGCCCAAGCATTGTGCCTCCACGGTCAGCAAGGCCCGCAGCAAGAAGACCCAGAAGCCACCAACCAAGAAAGGAGAACCTGAGAGGGACAAGCCAGGAGCTGAGAGCCAGAGGAGGGACAGGACCTTCACCACCAAGTGAGACCTTCCTCCTTGGGGTTGCCCAAAGGGGTCTGGTGGCCACCAGATGTTGAGTATGGGCATGAGGTGACCTTGGGGTTGTCCCCTGGGGTGGCTGATGGGCTCTGTCCCCCTCCACCCCAGCATGGACAAGCTGCACCTGATGTTGGCCGAGTTGTCCCTCAGCTTCAACCACGTGCCCAGCTTTGAGGTCTTCCAGCACACGGTGACACCAGCTGAGTACCTGAGCAGCCACCTGGAGACACGGCTGGCCAAGTAGGGACCACCCTGGGGGACGTGGTGGGGGCTGCAGGGAGGGGGACGGTGGTCCTGGGTCTCCAAACATCTCAGCTCCTCCCTGCATCTCCAAACATCTCCTCTCTGGATCTCCAAACATCTCGTCCCCGCATCTCCAAACATCTCGTCCCCGCATCTCCAAACATCTCGTCCCCGCATCTCCAAACATCTCGTCCCCGCATCTCCAAACATCTCGTCCCCGCATCTCCAAACATCTCGTCCCCGCATCTCCAAACATCTCGTCCCCGCATCTCCAAACATCTCGTCCCCGCATCTCCAAACATCTCGTCCCCGCATCTCCAAACATCTCGTCCCCGCATCTCCAAACATCTCGTCCCCGCATCTCCAAACATCTCGTCCCCGCATCTCCAAACATCTCGTCCCCGCATCTCCAAACATCTCGTCCCCGCATCTCCAAACATCTCGTCCCCGCATCTCCAAACATCTCGTCCCCGCATCTCCAAACATCTCGTCCCCGCATCTCCAAACATCTCGTCCCCGCATCTCCAAACATCTCGTCCCCGCATCTCCAAACATCTCGTCCCCGCATCTCCAAACATCTCGTCCCCGCATCTCCAAACATCTCGTCCCCGCATCTCCAAACATCTCGTCCCCGCATCTCCAAACATCTCGTCCCCGCATCTCCAAACATCTCGTCCCCGCATCTCCAAACATCTCGTCCCCGCATCTCCAAACATCTCGTCCCCGCATCTCCAAACATCTCGTCCCCGCATCTCCAAACATCTCGTCCCCGCATCTCCAAACATCTCGTCCCCGCATCTCCAAACATCTCGTCCCCGCATCTCCAAACATCTCGTCCCCGCATCTCCAAACATCTCGTCCCCGCATCTCCAAACATCTCGTCCCCGCATCTCCAAACATCTCGTCCCCGCATCTCCAAACATCTCGTCCCCGCATCTCCAAACATCTCGTCCCCGCATCTCCAAACATCTCGTCCCCGCATCTCCAAACATCTCGTCCCCGCATCTCCAAACATCTCGTCCCCGCATCTCCAAACATCTCGTCCCCGCATCTCCAAACATCTCGTCCCCGCATCTCCAAACATCTCGTCCCCGCATCTCCAAACATCTCGTCCCCGCATCTCCAAACATCTCGTCCCCGCATCTCCAAACATCTCGTCCCCGCATCTCCAAACATCTCGTCCCCGCATCTCCAAACATCTCGTCCCCGCATCTCCAAACATCTCGTCCCCGCATCTCCAAACATCTCGTCCCCGCATCTCCAAACATCTCGTCCCCGCATCTCCAAACATCTCGTCCCCGCATCTCCAAACATCTCGTCCCCGCATCTCCAAACATCTCGTCCCCGCATCTCCAAACATCTCGTCCCCGCATCTCCAAACATCTCGTCCCCGCATCTCCAAACATCTCGTCCCCGCATCTCCAAACATCTCGTCCCCGCATCTCCAAACATCTCGTCCCCGCATCTCCAAACATCTCGTCCCCGCATCTCCAAACATCTCGTCCCCGCATCTCCAAACATCTCGTCCCCGCATCTCCAAACATCTCGTCCCCGCATCTCCAAACATCTCGTCCCCGCATCTCCAAACATCTCGTCCCCGCATCTCCAAACATCTCGTCCCCGCATCTCCAAACATCTCGTCCCCGCATCTCCAAACATCTCGTCCCCGCATCTCCAAACATCTCGTCCCCGCATCTCCAAACATCTCGTCCCCGCATCTCCAAACATCTCGTCCCCGCATCTCCAAACATCTCGTCCCCGCATCTCCAAACATCTCGTCCCCGCATCTCCAAACATCTCGTCCCCGCATCTCCAAACATCTCGTCCCCGCATCTCCAAACATCTCGTCCCCGCATCTCCAAACATCTCGTCCCCGCATCTCCAAACATCTCGTCCCCGCATCTCCAAACATCTCGTCCCCGCATCTCCAAACATCTCGTCCCCGCATCTCCAAACATCTCGTCCCCGCATCTCCAAACATCTCGTCCCCGCATCTCCAAACATCTCGTCCCCGCATCTCCAAACATCTCGTCCCCGCATCTCCAAACATCTCGTCCCCGCATCTCCAAACATCTCGTCCCCGCATCTCCAAACATCTCGTCCCCGCATCTCCAAACATCTCGTCCCCGCATCTCCAAACATCTCGTCCCCGCATCTCCAAACATCTCGTCCCCGCATCTCCAAACATCTCGTCCCCGCATCTCCAAACATCTCGTCCCCGCATCTCCAAACATCTCGTCCCCGCATCTCCAAACATCTCGTCCCCGCATCTCCAAACATCTCGTCCCCGCATCTCCAAACATCTCGTCCCCGCATCTCCAAACATCTCGTCCCCGCATCTCCAAACATCTCGTCCCCGCATCTCCAAACATCTCGTCCCCGCATCTCCAAACATCTCGTCCCCGCATCTCCAAACATCTCGTCCCCGCATCTCCAAACATCTCGTCCCCGCATCTCCAAACATCTCGTCCCCGCATCTCCAAACATCTCGTCCCCGCATCTCCAAACATCTCGTCCCCGCATCTCCAAACATCTCGTCCCCGCATCTCCAAACATCTCGTCCCCGCATCTCCAAACATCTCGTCCCCGCATCTCCAAACATCTCGTCCCCGCATCTCCAAACATCTCGTCCCCGCATCTCCAAACATCTCGTCCCCGCATCTCCAAACATCTCGTCCCCGCATCTCCAAACATCTCGTCCCCGCATCTCCAAACATCTCGTCCCCGCATCTCCAAACATCTCGTCCCCGCATCTCCAAACATCTCGTCCCCGCATCTCCAAACATCTCGTCCCCGCATCTCCAAACATCTCGTCCCCGCATCTCCAAACATCTCGTCCCCGCATCTCCAAACATCTCGTCCCCGCATCTCCAAACATCTCGTCCCCGCATCTCCAAACATCTCGTCCCCGCATCTCCAAACATCTCGTCCCCGCATCTCCAAACATCTCGTCCCCGCATCTCCAAACATCTCGTCCCCGCATCTCCAAACATCTCGTCCCCGCATCTCCAAACATCTCGTCCCCGCATCTCCAAACATCTCGTCCCCGCATCTCCAAACATCTCGTCCCCGCATCTCCAAACATCTCGTCCCCGCATCTCCAAACATCTCGTCCCCGCATCTCCAAACATCTCGTCCCCGCATCTCCAAACATCTCGTCCCCGCATCTCCAAACATCTCGTCCCCGCATCTCCAAACATCTCGTCCCCGCATCTCCAAACATCTCGTCCCCGCATCTCCAAACATCTCGTCCCCGCATCTCCAAACATCTCGTCCCCGCATCTCCAAACATCTCGTCCCCGCATCTCCAAACATCTCGTCCCCGCATCTCCAAACATCTCGTCCCCGCATCTCCAAACATCTCGTCCCCGCATCTCCAAACATCTCGTCCCCGCATCTCCAAACATCTCGTCCCCGCATCTCCAAACATCTCGTCCCCGCATCTCCAAACATCTCGTCCCCGCATCTCCAAACATCTCGTCCCCGCATCTCCAAACATCTCGTCCCCGCATCTCCAAACATCTCGTCCCCGCATCTCCAAACATCTCGTCCCCGCATCTCCAAACATCTCGTCCCCGCATCTCCAAACATCTCGTCCCCGCATCTCCAAACATCTCGTCCCCGCATCTCCAAACATCTCGTCCCCGCATCTCCAAACATCTCGTCCCCGCATCTCCAAACATCTCGTCCCCGCATCTCCAAACATCTCGTCCCCGCATCTCCAAACATCTCGTCCCCGCATCTCCAAACATCTCGTCCCCGCATCTCCAAACATCTCGTCCCCGCATCTCCAAACATCTCGTCCCCGCATCTCCAAACATCTCGTCCCCGCATCTCCAAACATCTCGTCCCCGCATCTCCAAACATCTCGTCCCCGCATCTCCAAACATCTCGTCCCCGCATCTCCAAACATCTCGTCCCCGCATCTCCAAACATCTCGTCCCCGCATCTCCAAACATCTCGTCCCCGCATCTCCAAACATCTCGTCCCCGCATCTCCAAACATCTCGTCCCCGCATCTCCAAACATCTCGTCCCCGCATCTCCAAACATCTCGTCCCCGCATCTCCAAACATCTCGTCCCCGCATCTCCAAACATCTCGTCCCCGCATCTCCAAACATCTCGTCCCCGCATCTCCAAACATCTCGTCCCCGCATCTCCAAACATCTCGTCCCCGCATCTCCAAACATCTCGTCCCCGCATCTCCAAACATCTCGTCCCCGCATCTCCAAACATCTCGTCCCCGCATCTCCAAACATCTCGTCCCCGCATCTCCAAACATCTCGTCCCCGCATCTCCAAACATCTCGTCCCCGCATCTCCAAACATCTCGTCCCCGCATCTCCAAACATCTCGTCCCCGCATCTCCAAACATCTCGTCCCCGCATCTCCAAACATCTCGTCCCCGCATCTCCAAACATCTCGTCCCCGCATCTCCAAACATCTCGTCCCCGCATCTCCAAACATCTCGTCCCCGCATCTCCAAACATCTCGTCCCCGCATCTCCAAACATCTCGTCCCCGCATCTCCAAACATCTCCTGTCCCTGCATCTCCAAACATCTCATCTCCTCCCTGGATCTCCAAACATCTCCTGTCCCTGCCTCTCCAACATCTCCCTGCATCTCCAAACATCTCATCTCCTCCTTGGATCTCCAAACATCTCCTCTCTGGATCTCCAAACATCTCCTGTCCCTGCATCTCCAACCTCTCCTGTCCCTGCATCTCCAACCTCTCCTGTCCCTGCATCTCCAACCTCTCCTGTCCCTGCATCTCCAAACATCTCCTGTCCCTGCATCTCCAACATCTCCTGTCCCTGCATCTCCAACATCTCCCTGCATCTCCACCACCTCCCTCCTGTCCCCCCAGAGCCATCGTGGCCATGGCTGGTTACACCCAAGCCACCCAGGAGGTGGCCCGTCCTTCCGAGGTGCTGGTGGGGCTCCACTCCTACATCACCTTCATCCAATCACTGGGCCAACTGGTGGGACTGGACACGGGCCGTGTCCTCCGGAGCGTCCTCCTGCAGCAGACCCAGCCCCGCGACGCCTCGGGCCACCAGACCCTCACCACCATCTACACCAACTGGTGGGTGCCCTGTGGGGACCCCGGGGAGGTGACAATGATGATGATGATGGTGGTGGCCCTTGGGTGTCCCCAGGTACCTGGAGTCCCTGCTCAGACAGGCCAGCACCGGGGCCATCACCTTTGCTCCTGCTCTTCAAGCCTTCACCACCCTCCCCAGGGAAGGGGAACCCCCTTTTAGTGCTGCCGAGTTCTCTGACATCTCAGGTAGGGGGTGGGGGACACATTGGGGACATTTCCTGGGGAGGTTCCACCTCTGGGGACCCCCCCACCCCACTCGAGATGTCCCCACGGTGGTCCCTGCCCCTCCCAGAGCTGCGGGCACTGGCCGAGCTCCTGGGGCCCTACGGGTGGA